TTGTTCTCTTGTTGTTGTCATTATTGCTGTTTTTGTTATTGTTGTTTTTTGTTGCTATTGTTTTTGTTGGTTCCGTTGCTATTGCTGTTGTTGTTGTTTTTTTTTTTTTTTTTGTTGCTGTTATTATTATTTTGTTGTTGTTTTATTTTGTTGTTATTACTGTTTTTGTTGTTGCTAAAGTTTAAATTAACATTTAACGGGTAAGATGAAAGTGTATTTTAGAAGAAGGAAGAGTATTTAGTCAAAGAGGTAAACAATGAAGTATTTGTTGACAGTAAAAATCCACTACTGTTTAGTGAACCTTTACCATTTGAAGTACCATTGAAGTGTCATCAGTTTATTTATTGTTTACTGAATGAACCTAAGCTTTACTTAGAAATCTCATCGTTATGGATTAAATTAAAAATTAAAAATAGTTCAATTATTCCTTCTCATTCAATTAAATTTTATACTTCAAATTGCAAAATAAATAATAAAATTATTGCAAATATTTTCAAATATTTGCAAATTTGAATTTAGTATTTGTAAAAAGAAAAACAAAAAATTTAGAAATTCCTAAAAATTACGAAATTTTTAAAATTAACTCAAAATAGCCATCTTTTTCCTATTCAAACATCTTATCATTTGCTCTGCTTACTATCACTATCACTATTACTACTTATTTAGATAATTTATGATAATTTTATTAAAGAAATAAAAAAATTATATTTAAATGATAAGTGGGAAATTAGCTTATGGAAATTAGCTGATCGTTAATTACATTAGCATTCAATGCTAAATGTTTACAAATAGTATAAAATATCGTTTGAAACAAATTTAAAATAGAGTCATGTATTTTGTTAAAAATTAAAATATATTTAATTAGTTGGCATATTAATTAGTCAACATATCAGCCAACACATTTCATTAATTAACATGTTAAATTTAATAATTAAATGTTTCATATTAAATATTTTAATCGAATTATTTTTGACAAATTAAACTATCCCTCTTAAGTGATTAACAGCTAATCTCATCGTATAGTATCATTAAGTGATATAACATTGATAAGCATTTCGACAGCAATGCTTTATGCAAATTTCCCTTTTTTTTCTTTTTTGAATGAATGAATCATTCCAAATATATCGCATTACCAATGAAATAAATCCATCATATTTATTCCCATATATACTTTCCCTATTTTTCTTCCATACATTCATTCATTCATTCATTCAACCAATACTCTAACGGCGTTTTTGTCGTTGCATCTTCCGCCCAAAACTAGTTTTACTGATAACAATTGATATTTGTATGCATAAATTCTTGAATTGATAATTTGATATGATACATTTACAATCAGTTTGTTGTATGATAAATTCATTCGTATAGCTAGAACAATAAATGCTTATCAATATATGTTATAGCAATAGAGCAACAATAAATTACATATTTTAATTAAATTAATTAAAATAAAATATTTACATGAATAATTATTATATGTTTATTTTCTTGGTATAACAATAAAAATATTTGTATCATTTAAACATTCCTTCCTTTGATCATTCTTTAACTGGTTTTCTTTTTCTTGATATTTTTTCATGCATATATATATATGTATGGATTGATACATAGATTATATAGAGGTTTGATATGTAAATTTTTTCTTTTTACAATTTTAATGTTAATGTATTATTAATTTAATTCTTATTTATTATAATTATTATTATTTAATTTTGATACTTTTAATAAATCAATATACTTAATCAACCAATCAATAAATCAATTAATGATATAAACTTCATCTAATGCAATAATGATACATTTGATGAATCATATCATAAAATTTCTTTTTTTCATTTCAAATATTTTCTTCCCATATTCGTGCCTGTACTTTTTGCTATTAATCATTTTCATTTTAATCTTTTCCTTCACTGATCACTCATTTACTTATCAATATTA